TCTTTAGAATAATAAGAGAAACCACATCTATGTCGTAATTTGCCGGCGCGTGGGTTAGCGAAAAACGTTCAAGGAAAACTGACAAAACGCTCCTCTTTTGCCGAGGACATACGTAGTCGTGCGTACTTTCAAAAATACCCACGTCACACCTTGAATAGATGCTGTCAGTATATTTATAGGTTGTACTAGTACAATTTGTTTTTGTTTTCTAATTCTCATAACGTACCTTATTCTGTTTCACTTTAGAATGATCTCAAAGAATTTCACTCCTTGGTCGAGCTGTGCAATCCAGGCGTTCTTGGTGAGACATTTTCTTACAGCAATCATAGCAATTGTGGGATGGCTTAGTATTGTTTGATGGGTTAGGAGGGGTTTATAGTGGTCCCATGTCTGATAATACAGACATTTAAATGGCTAAATGGCCAGTTTTTGGACAGCCCATCAGACAATCTTTATTGAAATGCCCTAACCATATCCTATACCATGAAAACCTTTGAAAATTTTTAGGCTGTGTTTGAAAGCGATTTTCCCGCGAAACAAATCGTAATGATCAAAGTTAGCAAAAAGAATGATCAAAAGTTTCTTGATAAAGATATTTTGGACGACATCTATCGTCCATCACTAGTTTATTAGTTTACCAAGTCAGTGAATAAGTGCAATAAAGTACAAACGTCAAGGAAAAACACGCATAATACAAAGCAATTTTGAAAAAAAAACTATATTTGTAAATACAACTGCCGGAATTCAGTCTATATTCGCTGAACCATTTGGTATTTTCTCAGGGAGCCAAGTACTATTTCGTCGCGTTTATGAACAACCTATTATCCAAGGACAACAACCTAATGCAACAAGTGAAGAAAAAGAACTCGGGCAAACCAGAGCATCGGAGGTATAATAATAATAGTTTATACTTTGATTTAGACAGCAAACGTGGTCAATTGTAGTAAAAGTTGGCGGTAAATTTGCCGTGCTACCCTCGCCCCGCTCATTATGCATGCATAATATCAACCAAACGCTCCTTCAAACGACGAGCTCCTCACGCGCAATTATCTTTGCCCTTGAAAAAATCATGTGACCATTTTTTTCCAGCTCAACCGGTTAACAAGCCAGTTTTTCTTGAGGAGAACATCAGAGATTAACAACAAGTATTTACCGTCTAAAGGTACGTTTCACACAACCATAACAAGTAACATATCAACGTAGGGCTATCGGAAAACTAACGCGAAACCAGCGGCGAAATAACGCAGAACAGGAGATGAAATATCGCAAAATAAGCGAAACGGACAAAGATTTAATGAGAATCGAACGCGAACCAGATAGGGAATGTTCGTAAAACGAGTCGGAAACTGACGCGAAACAGACTAAACGCAAGACGTGCCTGTAACGTTGCTGGACGATCGGGCAACCTAATCCAAAAGTGGCGAAAAGTAACGCAAGACAAAGGAAACTGGACGAAGAACAAACGAAGAACTTTATTTTTATATGTAATAGGACTCCATGCTGTTCAAT